TTGCTTACAACGCATTCGCGGTACGACGCGGCCGGAGTCTCCTGCCGAATTTGAACGCAGATATTCATTACGACCTCTCGCGCCTGACTCCCAAACTTGCCTTTTCGAAAAAAATGTTTTGAAGCGACTCGGTGAGGAAAGCAGCAAAGCATATGATTCGGCCATTATGGGAATGAAATCACACAGAAAAAACGAGCGCTGCAGCCGTTTTGCCAGCGAATGTACGTGTTTTCACCAAACCACAATCATTTACATAAATTAATAAAAACATAAACTTCAGATATTTAATTATTTTAGTTGCAAAGCATTCTCAGCACTACACATCTGGAATATTGTGCAATTTTGTACGCACGAAACAGTGATTTCAAACAAATTAGTTTTGCGGACTACTTTGTGGTGCGTAGGAATGCTCTTCTCGAAGATGCAAACCGTCCCTTAGCCTTTTGCTGCGCTCGGACGGAACCTGAAACGAAGTATAGCCAGGCTAGATCCAGCGCTGCTGAGATCCCCCGATACAAAGGGGTTAGCCCCAAATCCAATCCAATCCAAGCCATGGCAAACCTTTCGGTATGAATGATCACATGATTCTCCACTAGATCATTTAAAACTGCGCTCTCCCGTCTTTAGCGCCGATCAAGGCTATGCATGCCCACTCTTCTATTTTGCAGCTCATCACGGCATCTGTTGACTTCACCTAGAGAAGGAAAAAGCACAAAAAGGGCATGTCTTTGACAAAGTGGCTCAATGTTGGCTGTGCAAACACTATAGTATTAATAACTGCGCTGTTGAATGCGCTTCACGTTTCCTGCTAGAGTTAGTCGATTTCAGTGACTTGGCTCTTTGCAAAGTTTTCCGCCCCACGTAAAGATATATAAATGGAATTAGATTGTGATATTTGATGTGTCGTCTTCCTAGATGATACGGAAGAGGACTGCATCGTTTTCTGATTATCAAATGAAGTGGAGTTGCCCTTTAAAGAAATATGTCAAGCCGAGGTTTTTTTTCCCTGGCACCTAATGTTTTAGCAAGCCTTATACGAATATGAAGTGTTCTTTTCGATTCTGAGTCTGGTGTTTTTACCCACAACAGGGAACTAAGTTGTGCCATCTTTTCATCTTGTAGAGTGTAGTTTGCTCAGCTTTATGCTGTGATTTTCTAAAGAAATGCAACAGACATATGAGGAATATTTACATGATGTCACCATTCTGTGCGGTCCTATAGCCTTGTGGTTGACGGCATCTCGGTGTGCACATGGAAGTGCCAGATTGCATTTCTCCTTGTCATTCTCTCTCTTTCTTCTATGGTCAGTTCTTGTGTTTTTGATGTTGTGTTTATATACTACCGATAGTCATTGGGCTTTTTGCCGTAACGGGTTAAACGCATTTGCACACAATACCAGTGAACTGAACTTGAAGATCAATGATGTGCGAAAGATTGCAATTAAGGATGACCTCATGCGCAGGGCAAGTAAGGTTATGTGCTGGCCGTACAGACCAGTAGCTGTTTTCATTTGAGATGTAAGCTGTGAACAACAAATGTCAACGGTCAATCACGTTCGCATGGCTAATGAAGGGAAACATTTCGCTCTGCTGAGCGAAATAAATAATACTGCATACTGGACATATCCAACTATTATTTTTATCCTACAATAAGTGTTCATCTGCTTGTGTATCTTTCCCATGACGGGCAGTAGCGATTATGCAAACAGTGGAATTGAAGCCCGAAATGTTACGCTCAGATTTTATGATGTGCTAACAACAGTTTCGAAAAAGTGTGCACTGCGAAATTTAGGCATCATACTATAGCTTCAATTGCTTATCCTGGACATATTAAAGTAAAACAAATAAACTTATGATAGAAGACAGTAGCCAACATGTTTTGGAGTAATTTGATTATTGTTCAAATCATTTTCTATGATTCCAAGTTTGTCAAGCTCTTGAACTTTACATGTTTCATAATTTGTAAATTTTGAAACTACTTTCTTGGATCTTTGAACCTCAAATTAGAAAAAAAAAGTAGCTCAATTCAACTCGCAGAACACAAAACTAAGTGGCAGGTTTTTTTTTTATCAAATGCTTTCAAATATGGGTAAGTCGAAGGCTTGTGTGCATATGTACAAAGCATTTCTGAAAAAGGTGGGGTGCTTATGAATACATTTGGCAGTTAAATGCAGTGAGGTCCACAATGTTTCTCAAGCCTTAAAGTTTTCATGCTTTCAAACTTGTAACTTTTTATTAACACAGAGGACCTCGTTCCGGCTGCAGACCTCAGAGATGCTAAAAAGAAAATTAGGGCCCTGACGAAGGAGTTGGAAGAAGAGAGGGCTCTGTGCCGACAAGTGCAGTATGCACTTTTACATAGACTTGGTAAGTGCAAGTTTTCTAGTGTGAAATTATTTTTCAAGATCATATTTGAAAGGTTTTCAAGGCTCGGACAAACTCCCAATATTGGTAGTCTAATGTAGCCCTCTATGTCATCACAGACGCACATGAAACAGGTCTAGCAGGTCTCAGCTGACCAGTTCAGAGATTCTCATCTACACTTTGTCGCAGGATTCAAACAAAGTGCATTTTCCAGGGGCATCACATGTGCAGCATGACTCTCTGATTGAAAACGATACACCCTCTCACAGATGTTGTAACACATGCGAAAATAGTTGTTTTCATGACTTCATTTGTTTCTGCAATAAGTCATAGTAGGGTGCATTGCAGTACAGATGCCTGACCTGGTGTGATTGGCCTCAGGTCCATGTATTTAAAGGGATACTGATCCAAGGAATTTAGTGTCCATAATAAGTGGCGCACATTCTTTCCACGAGCCAGTAGCCGCCGGTGTGCGTGAGCACACGCAAGAAAAATTACGTCAGAGACCTCCATTTGCGGTTAAGATGACAATGAAATGTATGGGCTTGGGGCCGAAGGAGAATAAAGACGTTTTTCATCTACACAGTGGTGTCTGGTGTAAAAGGTAAGCGATTAATTGGTCTAACAAGCACGTAGCTTTCACTTATAGAGATGAAAAGCCTGTCTTTGTTCTCTTTTGGCCCGAAACCCATGCATTTCACTGTCCTCTTAAGCACGAATGGAGCTTTTTTACATCATTTTTGTTGCGTTTGCTCGCGCACACCGGCGGCTGCTGGCTCGTGGAAAGAATGTGCGCCACTTATTATATATACTAAATTTGTTGTTTCGGTATCCCTTTAAGTGCAAAGAAATGTAAAGTGTGGAACATCTTCCCTCAGCTGGAAATAGCAGCTGTTTTCATCCTGGCTGTGAAGCCTAGAAACAGTTACCTCCCCTACCTGCTGTCAGAGAGGATATAGTTATTTATGATGCGCCTATTTAGCTATTAAGAAGGGTACCTTTTTCGGCCACAATGTGCGAAGAAGTAAAAGCGATAGGTTGTAGGGCGATTTCAGATAAGATCAAGCAGAGGGTGGCTGGTCGACCTTTTTAATTTGCTTCATAATTTTATATGGTATTTCCCAATGCCAAAAGTAAACAAATCAAAATTATTTTCATCTAAAAAAGATTATTGGGCGTAAAAAATCATAGTCACGAAATGGTGGCAAGTCACATTTAGGTGCGCACCTGGGGTGGTCACTTTTGGGGATAAATAACGGAAGTTATACTGCCTGAGTGAGTTTCATAATTTTTGGACGCAACAATAAAAACAATTTTGTTCTTGGAAAAAAAAAATTATAATCAAAACATAAATTTTGACTTTTCGATTGTTTTTCTCTTAACTTCGCAGGCCTATATCTTAGAACAAAATTAAGTCACAGACATATTTTGACACAATATTCTAGTCATAAGTGGAAGTAACTTAACACAAAAATAAAATTTATTTATGAAAAGATTGTTGAGATATTGACAAGCAAACACGAGAAAAGCACCAAACAAAAACCTTCCCTGGACAATGAAAAAAAAAATGCTCGATTTTCTTTTTTTTTAAATTTTGGCCAGTCATTCTATATAGGAGAAACCAAACATTTTTATGTTTGTTTGTTCAGCTGGTTTCTCCTAATTATGTTTTACCAACGTGCTCAACTCTTTCCCGCGGCCAGTTTCTACTTTATTTGGAGGTTAATATCTATTAAAAACATGTTGCATCATTAGGATGGTGTAATAGAGACAGCTCCTCTACCGAGCACCTTCTCCAAGGCTCGGCATGAGCTGTCCCTATAGTGCAACACAGCAATTGTGACTCGTTTTTTTTTTAAGTTAACTTTTTATATATCTATTTGAGTAAGGAAAGTAATAGTTTCTCGTGTCAGCCTCAGATTGTGAGGGTTTTGTTGAGGCATATTTTCGGTTGTATGAGCCATTAAAAAATATTAAATTTTTGGGATGCCAGTGTTTCTCTAAGGGTGTTCATGCCCATCTTGCAGCATGTGCAGTGGCGGCCGGGGGCGGCTGCGTAGTGCATTGCTTTCACTCGTTCGGGTGTTCAGATCTGTGGTCTCCGGCACAGCACTATGTGACTTATTATTTAAAGAGGACATTTTTTGCAACTTCACAAATTTCTTATGAAGGTGCTTGTTTTGTGTTTTGGTATTTCAGGTGTGGTGCTCCCAGCATCCCCTGTAGAGAGCAATGACATCAAGGCATTTCCAGAGCAGTCTCACTCCCGAAGACCACGGCAGCTCAGAGCAGAGCAGCCCGCCAACATCAGACGAACCAGCCCTGCCCCTTCCCCAGCCCCTACCCAGGCTCCTGCTGTGGTACCTGCCTTCTCCCCGGCCCCTGCCTCGGCCTCTGCCTCGACCTCTGTCCCGGCTTCTGCCCCGGCCTCTGCCCCGGCCTCTGCCTCTGCCCTGGCCTCTGCCCCGGCCTCTGCCTCTGCCCCGGCCTTTGCCCCGGCCTCTGCCTCAGCCCCGGCCACTGCCCCGGCCTCTGCCCCCGCCTATGCCCCGGTCTACGCCCCTTTGCCCGCCCCGGACCCTGTCCCAGTCCCTGTCCCAGTCCCTGTCCCAGTTTCTGTCCCAGTCCCTGCCCCAGTCCCTGTCATGATTCATGCCCAACCCCCTGTCATGATTCATGCCCAACCTCCTGCCCAAGCCAACCTGGACGAGCCTGGAGCTGCAGTGAACGATGCCGTCCTTGATATGGTAGGTTCTCAGTGTCCCAGCACTTTTCAACTGTAGATCGCTTTTAATGCTGCTGCCATAAAATAAGCAATAGCTTTATTATAAATGCATCTACTATGAAAACTATTACAAGTCGCTGTAAATTTTCAACACGTCTGATGTATTAGTTTTGCCAATGAATGAAGCCCTTTTCAGTGCGCAAAATTCTCTGTCCTCAAAGCTTTAAATAACTACTGCTACAGCTTCTCATTCACAACTTGTGCCATTAGGCTATTTGTATGTGCGTTCGAGCTTAAAACATGCAAGAAGCAGGTGATGTCAATCACAAGAATACCGAGGTGTTAATAGCCGGGACACAGTGGCATCCTTTGCTCGCTTCTTAAGCATATAAAAAGAAAGAGTACACGTCACCATTTTTGTGGCAGTTTTACTGTTAGTGCCCAGTGCAGCTTGCACACAGTTGATCTATGTGGCAAATGGTGCTGCAAAACCTGCATTTAAATCTAACAAATCTTACAAATGTATGTTTGTTCATTGGAAAATGCTTGCACTTCATTGGCGTGCATCTCGACGCGCTTGTGGTGTCTGTGCATGGGAACCAAGATTTTTTTTTTCCCGAAGACCGCATAGGAGATATTTTGTATGTAATATTTAATACATTTTTTTACCATAATATCCAGACTCTGCACCCATCCCCGAGTCATCACTAGGGTGTGTATTTTCCGGTTTTAACCGAAAAACACCGATAAACATCCGTCGGTGACGAAAATACAAAATCGGTTAAAACCGAAAAACTCCGGTGGTTGGATATTTTCGCCCCGGTTAAAACCGAAAAACACCGGTCGTTGCACGTTTCCGACCTAGCGAAACCCTTTCCCCGTAGAGGTTCGTCAAACGTGTTATCCCGTGGATCCTGCATTCTTCCAGTGTCTATATATGGCTTGCAGGTGGCGTCAGCCCGCCCTCCTTTCTGGGGTTAAAAGCGTCTAGTTAACGCAGTCGAAGCTAAGCTCTCGCACGCCTTTCCCCCATTGTGTCGCCCATGGCCCCCTTCTGTGGAAAAATTAACGCAGTGGAGGGTACGCTTTCACGTGCCCTTTCCCCATTGTGTCTGGTCAACTAATGTCGGTGCAAGCCATGTATTCAGAGGTTGCTGTGGTACCTGGAAGACACTGCCAACATCCGTGTCGTCGTACAGGGCTGCTGACCTTTCAGAAGTGAGATCCGTCCCTTGTTATCTGTTTAGTTTCCATGGGCTTTTGGGCAAACGAAAAAAGGGTTTTGTTGGCGGGGGAGTTTTTCGCTGTATATAAAAGGACCGTTCTGTAAGAAAATTTGCAGACGTGTTTGAGAAGGCGCGTCCGTCCCGCGTCTGCGGGTTTTCTCAACGTGAGACTTGCATCCCTTCGTCGTCACGCGGAGTAGAAGGCCACCAGGATGGGATGTAAGCGGAAAGCTCAGGATGACTACGCTACGTATTTCATGGATGAATCGTCGTTCTGGTTCCGCGTGCCAATTGTTAATCCGTGCATAAACGTGGAGCTGCCAGGGGGATTTGTGCCTTATGAAAGTATCTATCGGCTGATCCTCCGAGACGAGAGCTAGCTGAGTGACCTAGAATCAGAGTTTCTTTGTTACCGCCAGTATGCTATGACTAGCACCGTTGATCCAGTGTTATTTTGGAAACTTCATTTATCTGACTGGCTACTACTGTCCCAAGCCTCGCTGGACATTTTGAGATTTCCTGTGTCCAGCGCAAATGTGGAGCGTGCGTTTTCAAAATTGCGGGTTGTGAACCGCAAGGAACGTGCTGCCATGACGGATGCAAGCCTCTCGAAGTATGCTTGCATCTACTATAATAACCAAGTGTGAGAAATATATGCTTCCTCGAGAAGTGAATGAAATATGTGAATAAAATTGGAACTCTCTGTCTGATCAATCGCATTTTTTTCTACCGATAATCACCGATTTTAGCCTCGTCGTGAGACGTTCCACCGAAATACACCGGTGTTTCGAAAATAAATAAACACCGAAAAACACCCGCCGATTTTTCTCACAGATAAACACCGGAAAGTACACACCCTAGTCATCACCCACCCCACTTTTATGATAAAATATTGATTTCCTGAAAAACACCAAATCATCACCTACCCCAACAAAAGCTCTGATTGGGTGGATCGCGAGATAAGCAAACACTCATCATTCCTGTCTGAATTTCGCAACTGTGGAAATGAAAGTCAAAAGGCAGTAATCACAATGAGAAACATGATAGGTAGCAGAGTGAAGCTTTCTTTGTTCAAAACTACGAGCCAGTCCGTTAACTCTGATTGAAAATTGCAAGGTCAAGGACCACAAACTCTACCAGAGATCACTTGTGGGGAAAAAAAAGGCATAATAGAAGAAAAAACATTTATTTTGTTTACGAATGAAATGAAGTCCATCTCTTCCCGGAAGGCCCCAACTTCAAATCGCGAGATCAGCCCAGCACCCATTCTTCCAGAATATCACGACCATTAAGGTTAGTAAACATCTGTCAAAGACGAAGCAAAACAAAAATGGAGAGTATAACAAATGGGTGGCACTACACTTTTTAGCACTGCGGCACATTCCTGCGAACCAGAGCTTTGAATTCTGTGTACAATTCACAATATGATGTGCAAAAAAAAAGTATTTTCTCACTTTTTTTTTCGCATTTAGATATTTTGTCATTGTCCACTTGTTATTTTGGGAAATCCTGGGGCTGAGTGCTGAGTCTGGGAATTACAGTATATATAATTTATTTATTTATTTATTTATTGATACCCTTCAGGGCCCGAAGGCATTACAGAAGGGGGGTGGGCATAGCAACAATATACAAACAAAAGAAATATACCTAACTAGTGAGTTAAACAGGACAAAAATATAATTTGAAACAATATATACACAAACAAATTCACTTAACAAGGGAGTTATAGAGGATGCAAAAAATAATTGTAGACAGCAATTCGAAAATCAGAGCTCTCGGCAATCTCGACTACAGCTGCGGGAAGGCGATTCCAGTCCAGTGACGTTTTGGGCAAAAAAGACTGAAAAAAACGTGATGTGTGACAGTGAGCAATGCCAACTTTATATCGATGGTCGACGCGCGATGAGATATAAGACGGTTGTATTAACAAAAGCTGGCGCATTGACGTGTTAAGATAATGGATCTTGTGAAATAAGCACAAGCGTGACACTTTCCTGCGAAGAGAGAGATCAGGTAAGCAGAGATTGAATTTCATTGCTGATACGCTGGATGTTCGGTGATAGTTATGCAGTATGAATCGAGCAGAACGGTTTTGAATGGCTTCAAGTGATGACGCAAGTGTTATACCAGGGTCCCATATAGCTGCGGCGTATTCAAGTTTACTTCGAACCAAAGACTTGTAAAGAAGTAGTTTTAAAGAGGTGGAAGCAAGAGAGAAGTTTCTTTTAAGATAGCCTAACATGCGGTTTGCATTGTTGATTACGTATTGAATGTGAGTATCCCAGGAGAGGTTATTTGTTATATGCACACCGAGATATTTATATGATAAGACAGAATCAAGGACAACGCCGCTAATATTGTAAGAATGGCATGTGTTCATTTGATGTGATACTCTCATGGATTTGCATTTGTTAATGTTAAGTTTCATATTCCATGAGTCACACCACCGGGAAATGCTGTCAAGGTCTGACTGAAGAGAATGAATATCAGAATCATTGGTTATTTCCCTGTAGATGACACAGTCATCTGCAAATAAGCCAATGGATGAAGAAACATGAGTAGGTAAATCATTAATATAAATAAGAAATAAAAGAGGACCTAGTACGGAACCTTGGGGAACGCCTGAACTTACTGGTGAATGATCTGAGTTGCAGCCATTAACATGAACAAATTGTGAGCGGTTAGTTAAAAAAGACTCAATCCAAGCAAGAATATGGGGTTCTATGTTAAGGACAGTGAGTTTATGAAGAAGAAGCCGGTGTGAAACTTTGTCGAATGCTTTTGAGAAGTCTAAAAATACACAATCTACCGCGGAAGAACGATCAAGAGCGACATGAAGATTGTGAGTAAGTGTTAACAATTGAGATTCGCACGAAAATAGTTTCCTAAATCCATGTTGAGCCGGGGTGAAAAAAGACTTAGAATTAAGGAAAGCAACAAGATGAGAATAAATTATGTGTTCCAGAAGTTTGCAGGGGATGCTCGTTAATGAAATCGGACGATAATTACTCAGGCTAGATTTATCGCCACTTTTATGGACCGGAATCACCTTCCCCACCTTCCAGTCCTCGGGAAGAGTACCAAGATTGAGAGATTGCTGGAAAAGCTTAGTTAGAATAACAGAAGAGTACATTTTAGTGTTTTTTAAAAATTTTGAGTTTATATTGTCAGTGCCAGATGATGAGGATAGTTTAAGGCCATCAATAATTTTGACAATGCCACCACACTCTATAGTAATGGAATCCATAGTGCAAAAGTTTGATGGGAGCAAATCAGGGTAGTCAAGAACGTTGGGGCTGGAAAAGGAGTCGACGAACATTTCATTTAGCGCGGATGCACACTCCCTCTCTGGTATCTCTTCCCCGTCCGAGTTGGTAAGCCTTACACCAGGTTTTTCGCAGGGGTTCACAACATTCCAAAACTGACGAGGATTGTTGAGCAACATTGCTGGCAAAGTACTTCCGAAGAAATGCTGTTTGGCTTCACTGACGGTAGTTTTATATAAAGCAGCGACGGAGCGATATGCCGCCCAGCGTACATCAGCAATTGATGAAGCGGATAACTTCGCAGAGCGAAACAACCGTTTCTTTTTGTTTGAAAGCCTTCTGAGCGCTCCATTGAACCATGGGGATCGAGTGGAAGAACGAATAGTTCGCACAGGAATGTACATGTTCGTAAGGGAATTCACTTTGTCTTTAAATAAACACCAATTAGCCTCGACGGAACGCTCGGAAAAGTTGCACAGATATTCCGCCAAAAACGAACCCATATCGTTGTTGATGGCTGTAAAATCAGCATGAGCATAGTCAAATATGCGTTTAACACTTTTCGACGATTTACACTTTGGGATATTTAAGGAGAATAGCAACAAAGAATGATCACTAAGACCGGGTAAATAAGTGAGAGGGGAAATAAGTTCACTTGACGTGGTTAACACTAGATCTAATATAGTGGCTGTAGAATTAGTAACCCGTGTAGGCTGCACTACTGTCTGCGAAAAGCTAAAATCGGTACAGAAGTTTAAAAAATCATTACTCTCTGTAGAAAATGGGTTAAGGAAAGGGCTGTCGCTTGTCCATACAATGTTTGGGTAATTGAAGTCTCCCAAGAGTATTACAGGAACATTTGGGAAGCGTACATGGACCGCGTTAACGACATCGTGAAGCTCGGCAACAAAATTGGCGCTCTTTGTGGGAGGGCGATAGCAGACACCCAAAACATACTTGTTATAATTTATACAAACAGAAACCCAAATTATCTCGAGGTCGGAGACCACATTAATGCAGGATGACGAAATAGAATCGGCGACAGCAATAAGAACACCGCCTCCAGCCCTACTCCTTCTATCTTGGCGATATATATTAAAGTGTTTTTTACAGGGAAAAATTTCAGAGTTCCGAATTTTGCTTGTTAACCAGGTTTCAGTAAGAACAACTATGTCAGCACTAGATGAGTCGATAATCGAACACAAGTCCTCTTTTTTGGGAACAACACTCCTGATATTGGTAAACAGAACGGAAACGTTATCACGAGGCAAGGGTTGAAGATAACCACCACCCCGCGCGGCATGCTATTGCAGATTTGATATCGGGGAAGGATTTCCATTTACTTGGTCATCGGAGACAAGTGCGATGGAATTGCTTTTAGTTGTTAAATGAATACTGTTGGTTAAGTGATCATAACTGTAGCACTCTCCGTTAACTAAAAGTTTGTTATACCTCAGCTTGAAGGTTGAGTTTAGAGAGATACCGAACTCCACAAGTTTTTTCCTAGCCTGGCGCGTCGCGGGGCAGAAGTCCTCACTGACCGGTGTTCCTGCAGATTTTAGTTTGGAGCGGGAGACTAAAATTTTTTCTCTCAGCTTATACGAAGAAAACTTCACAATGACAGGTCTACATTTTTCAACCGTGAAAGAGCCGAGTCTATGCGTTCGCTCAAAGTCTCCTGGGGCAATTTGAAGGTCAACCGTACGTTGAAGTATGCCAACTATTTTATTTTCCGTTTCCGCCCATGTCTCTGACCTTGAATCGTCCACACCATAGAACAGCAGGTTTTCACGCCGTGATCTATCCTCAAAGTCGTCCAAACGGTTACGCAGGGAGGTGTTTTCTTGTTGTACAGAGGAAACCATTTTCCGTGTTTCAACCAGTTCTTTCTGAGTTGACTCGAGGGCAGATGTTTCTGATTCAACCACTTCAAGTCTTTTGCCAAAATCTGCGATTTTTTTTTCAATCGAAGCTTGGTTCAGCTTTATTTCATTAACTGTTTGGATAAGGTTAGACTGACCATTTTCAATTTTAACTGAACGCTTGCCTAGGTCTTGTAGCAAAGTAAACATCTGGTTAAATTGTATCACTTGGGCCTCCGACATCGGTCCCGGGTTAAGTTCCACATCACCGGCCAACTCTAACAGCACCGTGCGAAAGGAATAAAGACAGTCGGCCAGAATACACAGAATTGTGCCAGGGCACGGCAGCACTAAAAAAACAACATAATGTCTCTTAAATACGTCAATGAGATAGCACTTTTTACTAACCTGCACGATAACAGGAAGAAGTTTAGCGCTGCCGTGCCCACTGGTGAAGTCGTGATGGGCAGATTCTTTTGTAGACGATGGCCCTGGCGTCGATGTCACGAAGCCGAAAAGAATGTGGTCCATGTGACGAAAGTGGGGTACTGCGCCGAATCCATGTTGTGTAGATGACGCATCAGGAATGGGAGCGCGTCCGTCGGCGATCAGTAGAAGCTGCACGATAACAGGAAGAAGTTTAGCGCTGCCGTGCCCACTGGTGAAGTCGTGATGGGCAGATTCTTTTGTAGACGATGGCCCTGGCGTCGATGTCACGAAGCCGAAAAGAATGTGGTCCATGTGACGAAAGTGGGGTACTGCGCCGAATCCATGTTGTGTAGATGACGCATCAGGAGTGGGAGCGCGTCCGTCGGCGATCAGTAGAAGCTGCACGATAACAGGAAGAAGTTTAGCGCTGCCGTGCCCACTGGTGAAGTCGTGATGGGCAGATTCTTTTGTAGACGATGGCCCTGGCGTCGATGTCACGAAGCCGAAAAGAATGTGGTCCATGTGACGAAAGTGGGGTACTGCGCCGAATCCATGTTGTGTAGATGACGCATCAGGAATGGGAGCGCGTCCGTCGGCGATCAGTAGAAGCTGCACGATAACAGGAAGAAGTTTAGCCGACATGCCTCGGCTCGCGCTGCCGTGCCCACTCCACTCCACTAACCAATAACATTGGTTACTAAATTATTTTTATTGTACAGGTTCACCTGGGTGGAGGAGTCTTGGTCCCTCAAGACAAGCTTAAAAAATTATTTGAGGCCGAAAAAATGACTGATTCAAGGTTTTGTAGGGATGCCCTTCGGGTGATGTATCGGAAGGGAGAACTAGTGAATCGGAGTGTGACCGGCTCGAGAAGTCGAAGGTTCCTCACCGAGGACAGGGAAACCACCCGAGCCATCACACCAAAGAAGATGTGTGCTGTGAAAAGTGAGTGCAATTACTGATGTCAAGAGTTTAACCTAATTTATAACAGTATTTTCTGAAGCTGAATTTAACTGGTATATTTTTGCACTAGAATTCCAATGAGTAATTGAATGAACCCATGCTGGGTAGGACTTGTAAATACAAAAATTAGAAAGCAAAACACAGAGCTGCTGTACTTGCAGCTTTTTGTCTTATCATATTGTTTATACTTTCAAAGTTAGAGTTAATATGCCCTGATATTCAGAAGTTTGCTTGTAAACATATTGAAAGTCGGAGCTCATGTGGTGCTTGCACCTCACGGTTATATTAATTTTGCAAGCCCATCCAGAAAGCTGAGAGACTATTTCTGTTTTTTTCATAATTATGGCATGATGGCATCAGTTGCATATCATGGAACTACTCTACTGTTAAGCTGAGACTGCATTCGAAGTTGAAGGATATTGGCAAAACCTGCTGCAGCCTTGTAAAGTAGTTAGACTTCCATATCTCATGATGAGACAACAAAAGTTCCTTTTTTCTTGCCCATACAAAGACGCACATGTGCAGAGTACTGTCATGTGTTGTAGAGTGGACAGTCGATTGGTCAGCATTGGTTAGGTATGTACTTGTTGGTCTGCTGATAGCGGACTGCTCCAGAGAAAGAAAATGTGTGATTGCAGCTGCCTCAACTAGCTGTCCCTTGTTGGGTGTCAGTTTCTGCTGCCGAGATTGGGGAGAAAAGAGACGTCAATAGAGTCGCAGGTGTACTAGAATGTGGTGTTAGAAATTTGGGTTGCCTAGTTCTCAAGGAGTGATGGGATGCTACTTATAGCCTTAAAAAGGTACGGAAACAAAAATTGAAATATTCAAATTTCGTTCGGAAACGAGTCAAGCATGACGGATGATAATCGCCCATTTGTATTTTGAACGATTGGCTATATTTTTCGTTCCAAACGGTGCACTCGAGCAAGCGCTCGAAGAGAAGTGAACGGAGAGTGCGATGCGTCATGGGATATCCGGCGCAAACTAAAACAGGAAGAAAAGATTCCCCCCGCATGCGTGACGTAGCAAGGCTGGCATGGTTATGAGCTTCGCCCTTAGTGGCATTGTCAGCATAGTCGTGGTGTCGATATCGTCGGCGCGTTACAACCGAGCCGTTCGAAGTACCTGTGCGATGATGAGCGTGTGGCTGGCCCAAGGAGCACGTAGCTTGCACAACACTGTCAGCTTTGGGCTGACGGGGTGGGAAACGCAGCTTTTGTTCCGAGTTTTGAGCGACGGGCTAATCTTCTTGGGGGAGAATGGCTATTTCTGGTTGCACGAACGAGGGTCCGAGAAAGAGGAGTCCTTTCTTTCCGTCTTCTTAGACCGTTTGGTACAATGCACGATTCGTGAGTCGAGCTAGGAAGAAAGCTAAGGAGGAAAATGTTGAAATTCCAAAGGGCGGCGCTGCTCTGAAGGAATCTGCTACGTCATGATTACGTAGCAAGTTCCCTAACGTTGCTAGATTAATTACCTCCCAAATAGGCTTCGCGTGCATCCGCCAGGTGCATATTGAAAGATTGTTTACTTAGCTTCAAATTAGGTTTCTTGTGTTATTCGACGGAAGACTGGTGTTTTTGGGGTTAAGGTGCAACATGCAACACATTCAAGCTAGAAAATGAACGCTGGAATTTTGTTTCCCTACCCCTTTAATTGCTGTGCAATGTCTGCTATTTTTTTTTACTATTGCTTTTATTGGCGTTTGATAGCATGTGTTGCAATTTCTTTCCAGATGCCTATGTCCTCTACCTGAAGGCAAAAAACAAGGATGTGAGAGAGACAGAAATAGAAGCACGTCTTCCCAATGTCAATAGATTTATTGCCAGTATGCTACAGGACAACAACAGCAGAGCTAAGAAGGCCCTGTAGAAAACTGGAAGGTATTTACTATACCTAATAAACATTTTATGCCTCTTCACCTGCATAGTTATTTCTTGCATCATTAAGCACAATAGTTATGAAGTGTGTTGCTGTGAGAACTAAGATCAGGTAAATTTTCAAACACGAAAAAAATCTTATACGATTTAAGCTTATATGAATATTTTCTGGTATGTTTATTGGACACATCATGTAAGATTTTTTTTTCATATGATAAATATTTCATATCAGATTTTCATATAAGAACTCGTATGAAATTTTTGTCCAATAAACATATAAGAAAAAATATTCATATACTTTTTTCCAGTAGGGAAATAGACATGCACAGTGGTTTAGACATTTCTGTTGAATGATTCGAGGTTTCCACTAGTCAAGGAAGCATTCCTATTTGGCCAACAAAACTTTTCGTTTGACTGATCAGATTCCTGATGGTCCGATAAAGTCCCTATGGGACCAGTCTAAGTTCCTATGGGACCAGTAGAATTTTCTATTGGACCGATAGGAATCTCTATTGGTCCGATACAAATCTCTATACACGAACTCAACTCTCCTACGTCACGCCGCGGTGGTGGCCCGTCGAGCGCACTTCCCGTCTGGGACGGTGGGCAGAAGTCGCCGTGCAACGCATGCGTTCCTCTGTTCTTTGGGAAGAAACCAGACAAAAAACCTGCCTTCTCGTCAAAATGCTGCGACGGGGGCTGTACCAAAAGAGTCTGGAAAGGTTTGAAGATCAATTTTCCTGTGTTTCTGCCCCCTCTGTTCGTCCGAGAACGTGAATAGTAGCCGTGAAAAGGGCAAACCAGACGCTGTCGAACTACGATTGCTTGTGCGGGCAACACTTTGTGGTCGCCAGATGTATTTGTTTTGTTCCAGCATGAATGAGAGAAAACCGCCAAGTTGTCCGGACCACCCACGGGTTCAGTGCGTCTTTAAATTCAGACGGCCACCTGATCGTTCAAACTTTCGTCTGCTCTTTCAAACTTGTCTGCTTGTCTTCTGCTCGTTCAAACAAAAGTGGCCCGTTGACCACACTTTGACCCGGTGATTGCAATAAGATGTAATTGCAGGCCTGAAAAGACTTAAGTAGGCTCGGTGTAAACAGTAGATACACGATGTTGATCATTGGTACCAGTGGCTATCACCGACTTGTTACGCTTGGTCTGTTCTCGCTTCCGATTTTCAGTATCGACGTCGATCATCGCCGCTACCTTCTACACTTTTGCAGCACAAGCGACGTTGCGACCAAAAATAGCTAGAAGAATCTCATCATGGTTTTGGCGTCCATTATTTCTGCGACGTTCATGCGAATGAATCGCCGCACATAATTATTTACGCGAAGTTTAGCGGCGTAACGAGCCTCGATAATTTGGCCCAGGAGATTAAAGTGGTACGACATTGCTATGGGGACGTACAATTGACAATTTCAATGCGAAAAAAAGTATGCAGACTCACACAGACGCCGACAACGTGGTGACATTCCAATGGTTTGTTGTTGCGGGACGCGGTGCTTTTTGCCCGCACTCCATTGCGCATGCGTTCGAACTGTTGTCTGCTCTTTCAAACTTGTCTGCTTTTTGTCGTCAGCTCGTTTAAGGGGGGACACTACCCAGAAAAAACAATTTCTGCAAAAAAAAAAGTTGATTTTGAAAAATGCCATATTTACATCCACCAACATCTGGAGAGTATTCCCAGAAAGTTTAATTAGTTTACACTGCATAGTTAATTTTTTTTATAAATTATTTTCGGCCCATCGATGCTAAAGGAACGGTAAAGGTTGGAGCACTTTGAATGCATTTTTCTCCATTCCTCTTTTTGGCATAATTTTTCCTTTAGGAAAACTATTGTTTTGTTATTACATAACTTGGATTAATTTTTATAAGCTTTTCTGGGGTGAACTTTAAAGAGGAAGATAACTATGAGCTTGAATTTTTTATTTTTGTCATTTTTCATGTTCAAGAACGAGCATTTTGGACAAAGGATGGAAATCTAAAAAACATCATTTGTGTTTAGTTACTTTTTTTGTCATGAAAGATGGCGTAATATATAAATATAGCTCCATAGTTATCTGCTCTGAACTGTTCTAAAGCAATATAACACATGAAAACGATAAATCTATAAGTAATTTCAAAACGATGGTTTCCCTACACAGACACGCCCACTTTCGTCTTTCAACATTCGCAACGTTTTTGTACTTCACTTAGGTTAAAAAGATTTGGGACTTACGTTAAAAAGATTTGGCACAAATGTTCTCAATGTGAACTGATACAAGCCCTGTAAATGTCATTTAAATCAGACAAGTGGTTCAAAAATTCACTTTTTTGGGTAGTGTCTCCCCTTAAACGACAGCGGCCCGCAAACCAAACTTTGACCCGGTAATGGCGATAAGAACTAAGTGCAGGCCTCAAAACACTTTTGAAGGTTGGTTGGGGTAAGTAGGCTAAGTGTAAACAGTAGATACAAGACGTTGATCGTTGTTACCAGTGGCCATCATCGACTTGTAATGACCGATTCTACATGTGGTTTTCAGTATCGATGTCCATCATCTTAGCTACGGTCCACGCTTTTGAAGCTCGAGCGACGTCGCGACTGAAAATAGCGAGCAGAATCTCATCGTGGAAATCAGGTTTTAGCGCCCATTTTGCGGCGTCCACGTGAAATGAATCGGCGCACGTCGCATTATTCACACAAAGTTTTGTCTCGTTAATTTTGCTGAAGCCGCTCAAGTAGTCAGCCATTGTTAGGAGGACGTAAAATCAACAATTCCCACGTGCAAAAGAGCACGGGGACTCCCACCGACGCCGACAACGGCGCAATTCAATGGTTTGTTTATGGGCGACGGCGGGCTTCTTGCCCACCGTCCACCGTGCATGCGCGGCGCCGGTGGCGTCCGCTAGGGGCGCTCCGGTTTGTTTGTAAACATGAGTTGGTGTATAGGAATTTTCGCTAGGGGCTGTAAAAGAAAAGGGGGAGGGATGTTTTATCCCAGCTGGAGTGTTGCTCTGTAATTAAGTTTTCATCAGTTTTTAGAACCCATTGTACATAGAACCTTCTCTTACTCGAGCCTTATTTATAACAAAAACACTGTTCCTTCGACATCCTTTCAATTTATATTAGAAAGGGGAAATCCGTAATATGCTCCAGGATCAAAGAGGAACCTTTAGTCATTATCAAAAATAAACTCATTTGGTGATGCCTTTACTTTTTCATTTTCAAGTTATGTCCTAACAGATTTCGGCACCTGCTCCAAAAGAATCAGTGACTTCTCCAAACCAATGTTTTGCCTTCTGCAGAACCTGATACAAAAGGTCAAATGCCGCTACCATCACTGCACATGCGCAACTTCTAGTTTTTAAATTTTAAAATGCCGGTTTTGGATGTTGCAACTACCGTGTTGCATCTCTGGAAAGATCAAATGAAAATCACATTATCTAGAATGTACCGTATCATTTGTCACTTCTGCAGTGGATTGCGTCAGTTCCTGGTCAATCTTCTGTACTTGAGATAGAAAATACTGAAGAGATCCACACTTAAAAAGGCTCACCATATATTCTGCACCTCGCCGTTACTCTTTCTTAGTACTAGGCTGTACGATGGTAACCGCACGGCCCTGCATGACTTTTTGCCAGATTTGGTCCATCGCTTTAGTATGTTTTTGCCATCCCTGACGTCCAAGGCTGGTAGATTGTTCCCGTAGAGAGTTGCTTTTTGTGGCAAGCGGTGTATTTTTAGGGATTTTTCAAAGCATTTGCTGAAACACCCTGTGAAGGCTTCATTCCTCTTTTGCGAGTAGTCCATCACGAAGAACATTGAATTTCAGATCTCAACCCACCATTTGTCTTAGTGGTTTTACATTGTCGTTAAACCCCCACTCTTTCCGCCATGTAAGCACCGAATTAGGCCATGTGTCCGTATACCATGAAATACGAATGGAGTTAGATGGGCAAAAACTAAAATCCCATATACGTTTTTATTGCATAGTTCCAAGGGTAAAAGCGCTAAAAACAACGGACAACTAAAAAAAAAAACGAACAACACAGAGCGCTCTGTGTTGTTCGTTTCTTTTACTTGTCCGTTTTTAGTGCTTTTACCCTCAGAAATATGGATCACCAGGTAGCCAAGTGCTTACCCTTGTACTTTCAATTGCAGCATATTGGAAAAGTTACTGTATTGTGTGATTTGTATATGCGCTTGGCGTTATATTTGTCATGCGTTCATGTACTACTGTCACATTATGGGGTGACGCGGGTCTTAAAGTAGTAAAACATTGCTAACAATGTAATTTTTTAGAAATCACAATTTTGAAGCCGTCATGGTCCTTAGTGCACTCTCCCAAAATATAAATGCTCATTTCAATGTCTAAATATTAAACAAAACATTGTCAGCATTGAAGAGCTTGATTGGCACTATCTTGGTCTTGTTTGGAAGCTGGTTTTACCGTGCTTCGTTTTGGCGCACTTCGAAGTGGCGTTAGCATCAAGGTGGCGACGTCATCTATGCTCTTCAGAAGTGTGTGAGCAGAGCTCGAGACGCTAATTGTTCGAACTGCGCGCTCCTCTGAAGCACTGCTCTCCGATTGACCTAGGCATGTGCCTCCTCTCCTGGTTTCCCCGGCTTGCTCTCTTGTCTGCTCCACATTGTCTGCCTTCATTCGCTACACCGTCACCGTCTTCCGAGACGCAGGCAACGCTGTCTTTGCTCTTCTCCAGATCCTTTATTGATATTGCTCTCGTTTTGCTTTGTGCTTTTGAAATGTGTTGTTCATGCCCCTGATTTTCTTCTTATCCTCTGTGTAAATATTTTGGCCCCTGACTCGCTTTTCTTTATAGTTTTCCTTTTTTGTGTGCATTTGCCCACTTCGCACAGGTCTTCTGCTTCGTTTTGCTCATTTTGATGGCCAGGGACGCCCGTTTGAAAGTGGGCATGTTGAAAGTTCACAATAAACGTAGACGTGCTTCAAATAAAAAGAGCACCACGTCGTTGAAAACTAAAGT